TTCAGCCAGGCTTGTACTGATGGTGTGGGCAATCGGAGGCAGGAAAGGAGATGGTGTCAGCTGTGCGGAGCCAAGCCTACGCTGCTCAGTTCTTCAATACTGATGGAGATCAAATATGATCAGCACATTGACAGCTATTCTTATTTCCATTCCACACCCATTTGATGCCAATTGTCAGTACTAAATAAACTCAATAGACAACTAAAGCTAAGGTGGATGTTTCCAAGGGATGATCTTGGAGTACAAAGACATAGTTATACACTCTACATCTTCAAATAAAAATTCACAGCAGTCTCTGATGGGTTTTCCACTCACACTTCCTTTATTTCTCAGTCCAGTTGCTTACAAATATAAATGAGAACTTTGGCTATCTAAAAGCATGATGTTTTGCTAAAATTAATGGATTTTGTGATTTTGCTGCTTTGCTTATTTCATGTTAAGCAAGTGCAATATTAAATGAATTAATCTTAACATGGTATTTTAATTACCTGCTAGTAATTTTTTCCAAATAACTACCAAAATATTTTTGCAAGTAGTACTCAAAAATTGAGATTGCAAAATTTTTAGTCATAATTGTAAGTCTTCCATGTCTAAAAGGTGCACAACTGAAGTGATGACATGGCTACAGTCATGCACTGAGACACATTGTGAGATTCCTGTATACATATGAATGTATGTACAAGGAGACACCTCCATGTATGCACTACACAATGAACAGTGAAATCTTTCAATTTCTCCTATAAATTGAAATGATTAAGATGTCAACTGCCCCATTCATGCTAGAAGTACACCTGATCGGAATGCTGCAGTGAATGGGTAGAGAAAACATATATAGGAAGCTTTACACTGTAATTAGTATTACAAAGTCTGGAGGCAAACACCACAACAAAAGTGCAGGACTTCCCAGTGTGAATGAGTTTCCAACTTGTACTAACAGTTTGTGGAATAAATGGCCAACATGTTCAGTTTTCATTTTTTTGTGTCATGCTTAAGCCATTATTAAATCAGGTTTATATGTTCTTCTACCGTCACTTTGTTTTCCTCCAAACATTGGCCTCCAGGAAAACAAATTACATTAATAAATGTAAATAAAGTGAATCTTTAAAAAAAAAAATTATATTATAAGAGACTGACTTTCTGAACATTGTTGTCAGTTGAAATTAAGTGAGTGCAATCTGAACTACCTAAACAGAGGCAGTTAAGCTTTGAAGAAGCTACTATGGGAAGACTTTCAAAAGCACTCAGGGATAGTTTTGCGCTAGACACATTCAGTGCAAGAGTAAAGCTCACATTGATTTCAGTGCGTGGTGTTTGGCTGCCAACCAGGCTCAAACCATGACACATGCCACTGCAGAAACACACAGTATATGTCCTGAATATATTAAATTATATTTGATTTCAAAACAATATTTAGGTGCGAATTTACCTAGTCATTTCTTGGTATATTGAGATATTACTTAACCACTGTACTATTAAATGGACTGAAATAGAATAAAGAAGGGTTCATATATAATTGTTTCAGTTTGTTACTAAAATAACAATGTTCTATGCTTTTAGTTACAGTAATTAAAACAACCCACAGTGATAAGAACTATTGAGGATTATCATATTTTCTTATTAACATGTTAGTCCAATTAATCTTGTGAAGAAAAAAAAGTTGCCAGACTATTTAACAGTGACATCTAATTATTTTGGAGAAAAGTGTGCATCTTCCTGTTCACAGGCTTACAACCTCATCTTGTGCCCTAACGTCTTGTAAAGGGAAAGATACATATCAAGAAAGAATTGGGCTGTTCAAATTATTAAATGCTGAACAAGACTCATTTCATTATAGTTGAGGTTTATTAGATCATATTAGTTAACACCTGCTAAGCAAAAAGTATGAAGCGCAACATAGAGAACGCAACACTGATTACATGCATGTTTAACTGAGAATCCAGGGTCTCCATTAATTTTTCATTAATTAGCTGGAACATTTAATGAACAAACTCTTCATTATGTTCTAATCAAAACATGGTCTGAGAGCTTTAGGAAAAACCCCAATGAGCATCCATCTGCTGCTGTATCATTTCTGACCTTTTTTTTTTTTCCACCAGGATTCTTGTTTCCTAATACATCATCCTAGCAAAATATTTAGTTAAAAAGGGGCTATTTCTCCTTGCCACTTCTCTTAAACTATGACAGATTTATGAGAATATAATCCTTGTATGTATAAATGTTTTGTTACATTTTTAATACTTCCCTACAAAAGTACACTACATTTTCCAAACAAGGTCAGCTTCCTCGAGATCAGTTAGTTGGACATTTATTTATGCTGGGTCTTTAAGTCCTTTCTTAAACTAAGAAAATAATCTCCTTTCAAAAAGAGGCTTGCCAATATTCACTGTGCTCCCAGTTTCAGGAACTTGGACAATATTGAGAATTAAACATGATAGATGGAGCTCCAAATGGCTCAGTAGCAGAAAATTTAGCTTAGGGAAATCACCTTTCTATGGGTGATGAAGATATACCTCAGGACATACTTCATCCCTGTCCCACAGGTATTTTTTATCCTCTGTTCAATGGGCTACTTCCTGCTAAGTAGCAAACTTATGAAAATCCAGTTCAGCCTCCCTGGGTCTTTTGATTGTGTCTTATACAAGAAACACATTCCCAGGCTCTGAGGTGGTTTTAGATGGATCAGGGAAAGGTGAGCTCTGATTCCCACACAGACTGTTTCTATACTGATGCTTTAGTATACGTACAAGTGATTCTGGCTTTAACTATAGGTGCAGTCCCAACGTAATAAGCACCAATATAGCATATCTCATCCAGCACTTCTGCAGAACCCATAAACACCCAGGTTCAAAACACCAGCAGGACCAAGGAAACTGAACTGTTTCACAAGTCCTCTGCCCTGGCTGACATTTGACGTTAACTGCAAGGAGCAGATTGTTCTGACTCCACATCTACGCTGGACTGACCAACCAACAATCAAGTCATTAGAAGCCCCAACAGAGCAGCAGAAGATCAGATTTCTGATTTGTAGTTTAACAATAGCCCATCTCAGAAGCTACAAAAGCTGCTCCTGAGACTGGGTACGTGTTCATGAATATATATATCAGAAGATATGGAATCATTTGGCCTCATTTAAATGGAATTGATCCCTTGGTAAATATACAGTGAAAATCTGCTTTAAGCTATCTTGGAAACGACTGGGGGGAAGGGAGTATGGGTGGTATGGAAGTCAATCATCTAAGAGAGATGGCCTTTAACAAAAAAGTCTGACGAAAATTGCATGGGAAAGCCATAGGGATAAAGTACTCCAAAGTAGTTGATTAAAGTATAGCAGGGTAGAAAAGCAAAAGGTCTGACAACCAGTCCACCCTGCACCGTGATCTTATCAGCTCTCAGAATACTTAGATGAAAAGCCTCAGGAAGCCATACAGTCAGGTTTTAAAAATTCACAAAAAGTTTAGCACACATTTTTCTCAGGTGCAGTTTAGTTCTGCAAATATTTTGGTGACTGTACAACCTGAGCTTTGTGCATATACTTTATTGCAGGCCTTAGGGAATGAAAGAAAGGGAAAAGTGGCACCATCTGGTTATGGTTTCCTGTTTTCTGATTCTCATTCATGTAAGCCCTTTTCTGGTAGCAAACATTTGGTTATTTCCACATCTGTGCTTCCCCTGACCTCCCCAGAGGTACCTGAAGTAAGAAATAAGAGCAATGACTCATAAGCTGCAACTCAGGCCTGCGCGTCAGTGCCAAGCAATAAACATACAATCTGTAAACAGCAGATAAAGGGAAAACACTTCCAGACTGGATTTGTGCCTTTTCAACACCACTGTCATCAACAGCTTCTCCAAACAGATCCCAGCACCTCAGCATGTTGTTACACTGAATAGTGCCAGACAGGACCTGCAATTTTATTACATTTCAGGTGCTATTACTTCAGGTGAAGCAATTAATATCTGTCAAGCTAAACGACTCAGTCTTTGAATCACCTGTTACACTGCCCTCCACAAAAATCTTCAAAGGCCAGGGAGGTTGATGTTGTATGGAGGTAACCAAAGGCAGCAATTTGTCCTGTGCTTTTTCTTTGACGAAGCAAAGAGCAATTAAAAGGTTTCACCCTAGTATATACAATTGCTCTGGGTTTGTCTGGAGCTTTGCCTAGGAAATCTTTACAATGAACATTGCATACTTCTCAGTGAAAAAGCAGAATCATGCAGGCAGGGCTGGATTCTCCCCAGCTCTCATGTTTTGCTAGCCCAGCCACCCTCGGTAGCTGCCCAGGACTAACTCAGACCACCCCATCACACCTTCTCAGCCTACACAGCCATTCTTTCTCCTAACTGCTCTTTACTCCAGGTCACACACCAGGGAACCTCCACCAATACGTGCCATCAGCTATCCTAGTTAGAGAGGAGTTTTCCACTGCTTAATTATCCAGGTAACACACTTCCAAACATGTAAGTACTGAAACAAGCTGAATGCTACAAAGACTATATATCTGGCAGGCATTCTCAGACAAATTCAATAGTGCTGCAAACTGATGTATATTCAATTCTGGCATATCAATCACTTCAAATTCCGGTATGATTATCAAAAGACAGCATTTGTCTATAATATAAACCACTTTTTTTTTCCCCTTCAATTACCTTATGGAAATTTTTAACACAGAAAATATATAGTATTAATAAATCTTCTCTAGCACTAGAAAGACTGATTTTCTTTCTTTGTCCATTTCTTTGTATCAGGAGAACCTCACACATTTCAACTTTCTTAAGAATAAAGCAAAGGAAAATATTGCTTCATACACATCTTCTGCAAACACTTTCTGATATATTAGACCAATCTGAGCCCATATTGCATAATAATCAATTACATTAAACAATCTACTGCAAATTCCTTACCAATAAAATACAAAGTCACTTTCAGTTTCTGATATGCTATCTCTTCAGTTACACACAACAAATAGCACTTTCACACAAGCCATAAGAGTTTCTGCCTTTACCTGTGAAAAGGTGTCTTGTGTTCTTGTACTATCCATGTCTGTGAAAATTCTATTTGTTTCATCAGTATCCCATAGGGTTGCAAACTATAGTTTATTCATGAATCACACCTGCTTTTCCACAGCACGGTTCTCGTTCTTTCTCTCTGCTGCTCTCTCTTATGAAATCTTGCAGCCAATGGTTTTTATTAAGTGTTACTTCCTTTTATGCTGAGAACTGAAAGAAACAATAATGATGCTTTGCTTCCTTATGGCAGCTCTGTGAAAAACCAAAAAAAAAATAGTTGTTTGCTTTTCCTGAAGTGAAGTTCTAGTGACTTCCTGAAACCACCAAGCCATGAATGCTGAAATTATGATTTATTACTGTATATTGGATCTATCTGAACACCCATGCTAGTTACCAAAACAAATTTCATACTAAATGTAACAAAGTTTGCCTGAGGAATTACAAATACAATGCTCAGTTTTCACAGCAATGTTTTTATGCACAGCAGCAATCTTTAACATATGTCTTCAAACTCCAGCATGAATATGTGCATATTGGATGAAAGCACAAAGGCACCCACCTGCAGGTTAATATACAAGGTTCTTGTAAAGATAAGCAGCATTTTAAATTTTGTCTTTGCTACCTATATTGGAGAAAAGAGTCTAGTGATTAGAAGACGGAATTCCTGAAATCTAACTCCAGCTCTAACAAATATTGTTCAGCAACAACAGAGAAAATATACCTCTGTTTCCTGACCTATATATGATGATTTCTATTATAACACAAAAACATATCTAAATTAATTTGGTGATTAAAAGTTCTGAATAGACATGGATGTAACTCTTCATACTTCGAAATTTCTTCTTCTCTGAATAGAGGCAAAAGGTAAAACCAAAAGCCACTGAATATCTCCTGAAAAATAGTTTTTTTAAAAGGTGACAGGAATTGAAACATCTTGTTTTGGTAACAGGTCTCCTTCCTCTACTAATGTAGAAGCAGTTTTCTAATAGAAGCAAAGCAGGGAGAGGAAGCTGAGAAGTTCAGTGCAGACGAGGTTTCAGTGGTCCACCCTGGGCACAAGGGCAGGGCTCTCCGGCCCATCCCCACATACCCATGACTATACATCCCACCTGCTGATGTAGTTATGGACCTTTTGCTGAGGAGCTCACCTGATTTATCTACCAGAGCTCAGCCAAAGGCAGCACTGCAAAAGTAATAGGCAAGAACAGACAGCCAGAATTCAGGCTGGAAAACAGAGACAAGCTGTGGAGAGTGACATGGTGCAGAGTTGGCCAACCCAATCACCTTGTAGGCAGGTCTTCAACATGCCAGAAATAGATCTGAAACTTGTGCCTAAGAGTAGGCTCTGACAGCCATACAGGATTCACCAGCTTCATAGTCAAGAGCCTTTAAGCTCACACTTGTTAAACTCTGTAGATAGACCCAAGAGAGACCATAATAGCAAATGTGTGGGAGGGAAAGGATTAAGAATGAATTCTTTCAAGATTACTTAAGGCAATACAAATGAAAAGGAAGGTCAATATATGCTAATATAAACAGGTTTTAATCATTTGAACTGATTAAAAGTCCTATTCTTTGAAAGAATGTTAGCTTAACAAAGGCCAATAATGTAACAGGGCCTGACTAAGTCCACAACTTCTAAAGAAATGTTTAATAAAAGATTGTCTTTCTGTCAGTGCTCTCAATTGTATCTATTCTATGTCCAACATAACAGGATGGAAAATATTCACTAAACTGGAAAAAAAAATCATGGAAAACATGTTTCTTTCACAGTTCTCTTAAGTCATTTGGTTGAAATAAAATAGCAATTAATTCACTCAGAATCAAATTTCTAGTATTGGCCTATTCCCCCTTAGATTCCTCAGTCCTTGAGGAAATATGATTTTCTTTTTAAATTAAAGAATCCCGAGGAACTTCTTTTTATAATGTGGTTATAGCACCACAGAATACTTTAGAACGGGAGAATGACAGGTTTCTTTTATAAAGGTTCTGCAGAGATATCAGATGGTCTTTTCCCATCCAGTGCCTGCTGAACAGCATGTTTTGCAAGGTTACAAAGTCTGTGAGAAAGCAGTTAATCAGGATGAAGCTCAATTGATACTTTTAGAGCAAACATTTTCAATTAATCTGAAGTCGTTAATTACACCTTCCTTTAATAAAGGCTCTGGTGTAATTTTCTTTTTTTCTTCTCAGTTAATCGATTCAAATATATGCCAGAATCATGTGCTGCAGCAAACACATGGGAAAATTCAGTACTTAAACTACTCTGCAGTGAAGATGAAAAGAACAGGGAAGAAAGGTTTTGAACCAACATGGTTCGAGAACAAGAACAATTTGTCCATTGTCTGACTGATATACAAGGTAAATGTGTTGTACCAGCAATGTGTATTTTACTTCAGAACAACATGGAAAACTTTACAGCTGGTGTAAAAATGACTTCATAACCACTTTTCTCTCTTCTTTAGGACTTGCACCAGGTGTATTTACTACCAAGCAGGGGGTCTTTTGCCTGGAGAATCACTGTGCCCTGCCACACCATCACCTCTCAGAGTGCTGCTGCCCAACCCACTCACTGGCCACCATCCCATCCACCATGCTTTCCTGAGGGTTTTTAGGCTAAAAAGACAGTTAGGGTGACTCAGATTTACCGACAGAAATTCTGAACAGCTTTTTCCCAAACTTCCTTCACTTCTGTATCCAACCACAAGGTGTGAACCTCCTTGTCAGCCTCCTGGTTTGTGTTATCTTGCTTCTGTTGTTCACTGGGGCCCTCCCAGCCCTCGGAGTGTCTTCACATGCCAGAAATCAGAGATTTCCCTACCTGCTTTTTAAAATGCTAAATCTCCAAGAGTTTTGCAACAGCGTATTGTGGATAACCCTGTGTAAAGTCATTATTTTGTGCTTTTTGTGGAAGTTAAAAAAAAAAAAATCTATGACAAGCATGGAATATTTGTTTAATAGGCAAAAGTGAAAAAAAAAAAAATGTGTGTCCCTTTTTGATTCCATTAAAGAATTTTATTAAACATTTTCATTCCCAAGAAAGGGACATCATGAAATAAGTCATTTCATGTTAAAGAGTGAGAGCTTGAATGACTTTTTTTTTTTTTTAATGCTTATAAAAGCATTCCTTTCATGGAAATATTTTTGCCTCTCATTCAAGCACAAACATTTCAGCAGAGCTAGAATGCTCTCACAAAATATCTTAGAGTTGAAAAACAAAGCCATACACTGGAAACGTTTCACCACAAAATTAGAGACTAAGCCTGTTTTATAAATGGGTTCTTCCTTTTTTCTGTGGAACAGTACTGAAAAAGAGAGGAAGCCAGAGCTCCTAATGACTCCATCGTGTAGTGTGGGGTTTTGACCTAGTACAACAGTGAGCATACCAAGGGTGTTAATCAGCAGAAAGTAGTGGGGGAAGACATGCTGAAGGAAAATCAAGAAATAAGAATTAAGGGGGGGGAAATAAAGATGAGTAACTGAGGAGAGAACAGATCATTTTTCTAGTGGAAAAAGGAAGAAAAGGCTGAAAGGACCAGAAGGGGTAGAGTGTCTACTCAAAAGGAAGCATATAGCAATTGTGTCATTTCTTAGACTAGGCTAATAGGCACATGAAATAACTAACTGAGATACTGGATAAAAAACATCCTGACATTAAAGGTTGGTACGATAAAGGGCTACACATATTGCTCAGTGACCAAATGAAAGACTGTACCTTATATTGCAAAAGTAAAAGAGAAAAATGATACCTTCAGCACAGCCTGGATCTCCACAGTGAGAAGAGACGGCAAGTTGAGAGACACTCCTAAGTGCAAAGGAGAGCAGCAGAAATGCAACCAACCTGTAAGATTCTGGGCTTGAGCTTTACATTAAATGTTTGCAGTCATTAGCTGGCTAAGCACTGGCATTCAGCCATTCATCTACCTGTCTGTCCATCCATCCATCCTCCCATGCACTCACTATTCCTCCCATGGAAATTTCATGGTTTGGGGGCTATCCAATAATTTTATTTTAGTTGCTATTTTAAGGCCACCAGTTTAGCAACCCTGGGAGTCCGACATCTTCCATTTATTACATAAGCTACTCTGCCAGGATACTCCAGCCCACAGCTGAGACACCCACATCTGAAGACACCCTCAGCCAGACCCCCTGGGCCTCCTTTGAAGCCAGTGATGCCAACAAGAAAAACTGGAAATCGCTTTATAGGACAGGGGATAAGGGAGGAGTGGTCAGCCCGGTCCTTCTCACACCTGAAAGTGATAATTGTCTTCCATGAACCTTTATTTTTAAAGAGACAGCAAACATTTGGGGCTATATTGCAGGGACTATTTAGATTTTCAGGACTAGTAGAGCCCTTTCAATGTTCTTTAAATTCATTGAAGAAATTTGGCTCAATGAAGAAGCCAAGAAATATCAAAATAGAAACCCTTAGAGAACATTATTAAATCAAATCACATAAATCATGTAAATATCACCTCTGCTTTTTAACATAAGCAAAAATCCAGTATTTTAAAACAAAGGAGATCTTTTGGGCTGAAATGGACACACTCCATTTCACATGATGGATAACATGACTCTGTCAACAAGTTCTAAATAAAACTGGAAATCAACCAAACATGTTAGAGGGAAACCCCATGACAGGGGGTTTTGCCTTTTCCACTCCCCCAGTGAATATCTAACACTAAAATTGATGGTATCACAAATTTTAGGTATTTCTGTTTGACCTAATTTTAATCTTGGTTTTAAGCAAGAAAAATATTTATACAAAATGGATTATGCTACACTGAAATGGAAGATCCTCTGTGCATTAAATGCAAGGAAAAAAAGGGGGAAGTGTGAATAGAAGATGAACAAATTAAAATTAAAACTTCCGACAAACGATTGAGTCTGTGAAACTGAATTCAGGTCGAGAGTGACATCTAGTGATGCTCAGTACATGATCCTCACACAAACTCCCAATTTTTGCAGTATTCTCACCCATAAATCCTTCCGAAGGTACACAGCTTCATACATCTTAGATTCTTTTATGTCTCTGTAAATTTCTTCTTAAACTGTAAGCATAAATAACATATTTCAATATGAAAAATTAACAGTTTATGTTCAACAATCCCTATTGAAATCAGACTCATATCCAAAACCCAGTCCAGCCCTTCCT